ATGTATTTAAATGGGCTTTTATGGTTACAAAGGAATTTTATTTTTAGATATTACTTTAAATGTTGCTGATTAAGGATTTTTGTTTATTTTTAGCCATGACTATGATGTCACTTTCTATTTTAATACCTTTATGATGTATTTAAATGGGCTCCCATGTATTTAGATTTTTGATTATTTATACATGTTACCAAATTGGTCCACATTGAACAAAAACGGTCCAAATTTCAACTTTATTACATTACATCAAACATTGAATTCTACATATTCTTTGATATATTGAAATTAACAAACAATTTAGTTTATGGATATTCCACCATAATAGGTAAATTAAATTTTTTCCAGTTCTTACACCACATTCATCCTGTGTCAGAAACCTATGCTGTGTCAAATATTTAATGACAATCCAAAGTCATAGCTGTATCAAGCTTGAATTTTGTGTCCATACTTGCCCCAACTGTTCAGGGTTCGACCTCTGCGGTCGTATCAAGCTGCGCCCCAGCGAAGCATTTTATCTCAAACCTAGATGAATGGGTTCAGTTTCTCAAGCTGTGTCATGCACATGTTATGTAGTGTGTAGCAGAATATAGTAAATCTCTTAGACAGAGCTATTATGTGTGCCAATACATACGGAGCCCTGTTGGTCTCAGACAGATTATAAAGTGTCTTTTAAAGTCCTGCGCTGAAGATGTGTAAAGTCTAGCGCTAGAGATGTAAAGTCTAGCGCTAGAGATGTAAAGTCTAGCGCTGGAGATGTAAAGTCCAGCGCTGAAGATGTAGTCTAGCGCTGGAGATGTAAAGTCCAGCGCTGGAGATCTAAAGTCTAGCGCTGGAGATGTAAAGTCAAGCGCTGAAGATGTAAAGTCTAGCGCTGGGGATGTAAAGTCTAGCGCTGGAGATGTAAAGTCTAGCGCTGAAGATGTAAAATCAAGCGCTGGAGATGTAAAGTCTAGCGCTGAAGATGTAAAATCAAGCGCTGGAGATGTAAAAATCAAGCGCTGAAGATGTAAAGTCAAGCGCTGAAGATGTAAAGTCTAGCGCTGGAGATGTAAAGTCAAGCGCTGGAAATGTAAAGTCCAGCGCTGGAGATGTAAAGTCAAGCGCTGGAGATGTAAAGTCTAGCGCTGGAGATGTAAAATCAATCAAATTATACGAATTCCAAACAAAAAGAAATTAGAAAATTCAGCAAAGAGTCAGAAACTCACTAAAATAAGTAAGAAAATACCAAAACGAGAATGAAAAAATTTATAGACGGAAGAAGAAATGAAGCACACTATGACCAGCAAACAACCATTAGATAGCTGATAGTGGGGGCATAAAGAACCCTCAGATAGCTGATAGTGAGCATAAAGAACCCTCAGATAGCTGATAGTGGGCATAAAGAACCCTCAGATAGCTGATAATGGGCATAAAGAACCCTCAGATAGCTGATAGTGGGAATAACTAACCCCTTGATAGCTAAAAGTGAGCATAACGAACCCTCAGATAGCTGATAGTGGGAATAACGAACCCCTTGATAGCTGGTAGTGGGCATAACGAATCCTTAGATAGCTGATAGTGGGCATAACGAACCCCTAGATACCTGATAGTGGGCATAAGGAACCCTTAGCTAGCTGAAAATGGGCACAAAGAACCCTTAGATAGCTGATAGTGGACATAAAGAACCCTTAGATAACTGATAGTGGGCATAAAGAACCCTTAGATAGTTGATAGTGGGCATTACGCAGCAAAGAACAAAACACCCTCAGATAGCTGATAGTGGGCATAACGAACCCTCAGATAGCTGATAGTGGGCATAAAGAACCCTCAGATAACTGATAGTGGGAATAACGAACCCCTAGATAGCTAAAAGTGGGCATAACGAACCCTCAGATAGCTGATAGTGGGCATAGCAAACCCCTAGATAGCTAATATTGGGCATAAGGAACCCTTAGCTAGCTGAAAATGGGCATAAAGAACCCTTAGATAGCTGATAGTGGACATAAAAAACCCATAGATAGCTGATAGTGGGCATAACGAACCATTAGATAGCTGATAGTGAATAGAATAGAATAAAGGTTGGCGACGTTGGCGACGTTGGCGAACAGTAATGATTTCGTAAATGTTGGCGACATTGGCGAATAGTAATGATTTCGTAAATGTTGGCGACGTTGGCGACGTTGGATCAGAATGCAGCTTTCTAAAGGTTCGTTATGCCAACTATCAGCTATCTGAGGGTTCGTTATGCCCACTATCAGCTATCTGAGGGTTCGCTTTGCCCACTACCAGCTATCTAAGGGTTCTTTATGCCCTTTATCAGCTATCTAAGGGTTCGTTATGTCCACTATCAGCTATCTAAGGGTTCGTTATGCCCACTATCAGCTTTCTAAGGGTTCGTTATGCACATTATCAGCTATCTAAGGTTCGTTATGCCCACTATCATCTATCTGAGGGTTCGTTATGACCACTATCAGATATCTAAGAGTTTGTTATGCCCACTATCAGTTATCTGAGGGTTCGCTTTGCCCACTATCAGCTATCTGAGGGTGTTTTGTTCTTTGCTGCGTAATGCCCACTATCAACTATCTAAGGGTTCTTTATGCCCACTATCAGCTATCTAATGGTTCGTTATGCCCACTATCAGCTATCTGAGGGTTCTTTATGCCCACTATCAGCTATCTTTTAGTTTGGAATTCGTATAATCGATTGATTTTACATCTCCAGCGCTAGACTTTACATCTCCAGCGCTTGACTTTACATCTCCAGCGCTGGACTTTACATCTTCAGTGCTTGACTTTACATCTCCAGCGCTAGACTTTAGATCTCCAGCGCTGGACTTTACATCTCCAGCGCTAGATTTTACATCTTCAGCGCTGGACTTTACATCTCCAACGCTAGACTTTACATCTCTGTCGCTAGACTTTACATCTCCATCGCTAGACTTTACACATCTTCAGCGCAGGACTTTAAAAGACACTTTATAATCTGTGTGAGACCAACAGGGCTCCGTAAATACATGATAGGTCACTGCATCAATACTTTTAAGATTGCTTGTATAAACAGTCATTTATCTGTTGTGTTTTTACTTTATATTTTTGCTCTCATACTGATATTTTGTTTGTAATAATGACGTTTACATATAATTATTCACTAATCGTATGTTCATGTCATCTCATTTATGAGGAATTAAACATATGAATGAAAGGAATGAATGTCATCTCTTATTACAAACAACAACAAAGACTTTATTTACAAAATATATCATATAAGTTAAAAAGTTAAATAAAACAAAAAAATAAAATATGAGCAACTATAAAAAGACTTATTCTAAAAGTGGGACAGTCGAGAAGACACAAAAACAAATCTTCTCTTAAAAAGTAATGCATGGCATATTTTGACATTAAAATCATAACAAATATCAAATAATTGCAATAAAAACAAAAAATAACTTAATTACATTGTTTACACAAGTTCCCATTTCGCCTTAGTTAATTCTTTTTTACCTGAAAGTTTGTACTAAGGCCAATTGGGATTTATTTAATATAATGATTTTGACAGCTAAGGCAAAATGAGAATAAGCCTTTGTAAGCATAGACGAATCAGCTTATTTCTGAAAGCAATTATTTTTTATTAAATTTGATGTATTTTGTCAGTAATGAAAGATGAACAAGTAAAAATGTGTACCTTATTTTGCAACCTCCCACAGATCATTATAAAAATTTAAAAATTCTCTTGTGATGGCTTCAAATTCATCACTCGATTATTTTCTTCAGAAAACTAAAATCCATGAATTTAAGGACCAACGAACATGTAACTTTTTCTCAAACCACTAAAATTGATACCCAGGAATAAAAGACACTAATTCCAGGGAAAAAACACTCACAAACAACACTTTAATTGTTGACCCTTATCATCACACACTAACTTTTTTTTAACAGGTATGGAGTCAACAATTACCCATTAAATATTTAAAAAATTAATATTAAATGGCTCTAATTGATATCAAGCAATATCTAATTTTCACTAGTTATGAAACCTATAATTGTTATTTGGCATTTTCCATATTAGCACTGTTTTATCAAGAGACTCCCATTTCAGAATGAGGGCTGAATCTTGGTTCCTTGTATTGTCCAGATACTTCAGTGTTAGACTGAGAGCTTTAGCCTGAGGTCTGATAAAGGTCAAGTGATGACACAAGGGCTGATATGGGAAATGCCATGCAAAATATCTATCACATTTTAGCATTTAAAGTTGAAAAGAAAAACTAGAATGATACAATTGAATAAAGCCAATGTATTTGTTGAATTTGTGTTTTTTTTTACATTGTCTATAATTAAGGTTTTAATAATTGCTGTACCCCACATCATGCTGTATGCCACTTTCAGAAAATATTTGTTTCTAGAAAACGGGGGATAATTTAATATGAATTATTTTAGTGATGAATTAAATTTTGTTGAACTCTGCACTGTTCAAACAGTTTTATGAATGGCAGGGTCTATTTCAAGTTTTCAAGTATATATATAAAGTTATTCTCTTTCTTTATCTTGATAACATTTTTTCTGCCTTTTGATATCTATTTCTTCTTGTCCTTTGTCATGTTTGTTTTGAATTGCAATCAGTAAAGAAGCTTGAAATAGAGGTTATTTTTTTAAACCACTTCTCTGATATTTTTTAACTGTTAGTGGTTACAAACTTTTGTACAACATACATGACATAGGACATACCTTATTTACCATGAAAATATCCAGTAAATTAAACAATAAGATCTGTAAGAAAAAGTTTGCAAAAGTAGAACAAGAAAACCACATTTACATTTGCTGTACAATTTGTGCATTGTACCAAGACCAGCATAAAAGAAAACTATTTGCGGGAAATCTCTTCAATAACAGTAGTTCCCTTTGAATGAAAATTATGATCACAAAATTTCAAATATAAAAGCAGAAGTGGAAGACAGATTTATGTGTACCTACTATAAAGTTGCACTGCTGTTACACATGTATATTTATATTGTATTTTCTGAACAGATTTTACAGAAGGCAGAGAATGGAGTATCAGAATATGGTGACCAGATTGTTATACTGTGGATGACCCTATCTCAGCTCTGTAATACATACCAGACGTTGACCTCATGTACTGCCAGAGACAGTCTATACCAACACATATTTCTGTAAGTTATACTGTCTCTCAATATTTTTCTTCCTATGTCCTAAATTATTTTAATACATTTTAAGCCCCACCTAGGGGCATTATGTCTTTCGGTCTGTGTGTCTGTTCGTGCGTCTGTCCGTCTATCCCGTTTCAGGTTAAAGTTTTTGGTCAAGGTAGTTTTTGATGAAGTTTAAGTCCAATCAACTTGAAACTTAGTACACATGTTCCCTATGATATAATCTTTCTAATTTTAATGCCAAATTTAGAGTTTTGACCCCAATTTAACGGTCCAATGAACATAGGAAATAATAGTACGAGTTGGGCATCCGTGTACTATGGACACATTCTTGTTTGCTCTACTTTAATAAAAAAAAAAGACATATTAATATTTAGTGAAGCTTAATTATTGAATAATTAAATGATAAAAGAAAAATGCAGACTTGACCTCATTTTTGTGCTATACACTAAATGTATTAAAATTGAAATTACTGGTGGTCATTATCAATTGGCTATACATTATACTTAAGTAGTGATGTAGGGATATATAATTTATAAGTAAGACAAATGTGTTATATTTCTTCTTAACAAAAATCAAAAAAAAAAATTTTTAATTGATAAAGTTCTACTGTAGATAACATTCAACATTTCAAATAAATACTGTAACTGTGGGTTCATTTATTTCCTGGATGGAAAAAAATTTATGGTTTTATGGTTTTGTTAAGTTTGCATACAAGCCTATAGTATGTATAGATTGTACTTCATTGAACATTTAAATCTTTGGTTCAGCTATATCCAAGACTATTGGTATACCACAAATTATAATGAATCCTCTGTACAAAGACTTTACTATTACAAGATTAAATTGATTTATTGCAGATTGTGTGCCAAAGTTGTGCTAAATATAAAATGGCAGCAGCTACCTGATGATGACCAGGGAAAGGTTAACTTTTCTCAAACCATTGCCAATACACATCAACACCTTGTTAATACTGGTTTTAAACGGTTTGAGTTGTTGACCCCTTTGATGGAAAATCCTTGGACCGATCCAACTCTCAGTAAAATTATGTCTGGAGATGACAAAGAGGAATCTTCTGGGAGTGATACAGAAACAGAAGAAACAGAAAGAGGTATATATTGTCCTAAAGATGTATATATTGTCCCAAAGAGGTATATATTGTCCCAAAGAGGTATATATTGTGTTTCTCTTATTCCATCGTTTCTTTGACCTCAAGAATAATTTTTTTGGTATTGACCTATCATTTTGAGTGAAATTGTTAACATTATGATTATAAATGTATGGTATATATCAATGCCTTAGACTCGACTCAAGTCTTAATTGACAAGAAATTGTCTTCGGCCGAAGCTTGTTTGTTGTTTAAGAGCAATCCGGCTTCCTCCACCAATAAAAACTGACCTCCACAAAATAGCCAATAGTGCTAAAAGTAGCGTTATACCCCTATCAATCAATCAATCAATCAATTCCATAGCAGAGTGGCCAAGTGTTCTAAGTAGTTCAAGTTTTGCTCATTGTTGAAGGCTGTACAGTGACCTATAGTTGTTAATTTCTGTGTCATTTGGTCTCTTGTGGAGAGTTGTCTTATTTGCAATCATACCACATCTTCTTTTTTATATCAACTACTGTATAAATTGCCTGTCAACACTGAGGTTGTGAGTTTTTATGGGGGCATTAAGTTTTACCCTTGTCCGTCTGTACGTCCGTACATCCCACAAATTCTCTAACTTTAGCTTGCCTCAACCAAATGTTATGAAACTTGTGCTTATAACCATAAAACTCAAATCAAGTTTGCATTTTGGTGGCCTCAATTTTACTGTTCTAGATTTATACACCTATACAAATGGAAAAATTGCTGAATTTTTCGTTTCCGTTCTTAAACACAAGTTTGCTTCAACCAAATGTTATGAAACTTATACACAATGCTTATTACCACAAAATTCAGATCAAATATGAATTTGGGTAGCGTCGTTTTTACTGTTCTTGAGTTATGTCCCTTTATAACATTATATGCAAGCGGGGGCATCATATGTGTCCCATGGACACATTCTCAATTTATTTTGTTACTAAGTTACCACTTATGAAGAAGTAGGACAGTTTAGTCATTTTTGGAAGTCTCAAAGTCATAAAGTTATTTGTGAGATGTTTTTAACTTTGATATTTACAGAAAACAAAAAAACATTTATATTTTGAAAGTTCTATGAAAATAAGAATGATATTATTGATTTAACAAACTTTTACATCTCATTACAAAAGTTCAGGTTAATTCCCTTTTAATATTAATAGTATCTTGACAGACTGTATTATATACATATAGCTTCCTTATTCTATATGATACTTTTTTTGTAACTTGAGGAAATGTTACTATTGATTATTTTTTATAAGTAAGATTAATGTTTGTAATATTAAGATAAAGAAGAGATATATCCCTATGAAACTGTTATTATTGATTATAATCACATACAATGTTCATCATGCTCATGTAGAGTGCACTCAAAGTCATCCAACTGGAACATTTCTCAGTTGGTGTGTGTTTTCTGTACTGAGTGATGTCTCAGATTTAAAATAAATTTAATATCAGTCTTCACTATTAACCACAAGTCCTACAGCAATGGCTTGTAAGATTCTTCTATTCAAACCAACAGAATCCCACTAAAATTTTCCAAAAATTGTGCTTCGGGCCTGTGGACTCAAAAAGTAAATCGTGAAGGCTGTAATATTTATTAAGATATTTCATAATAAAAAAAAAAGTGTTGTCTTCCCCCTCCCTACATTTTTTCCTGGAATAGCTCTAGATAGATTGGTCAAAACATTTACAAAGTTTCATTACAAATATTAAGATTGATAACTTAGTGGTATTTTGCATCCAGCTTTTCACAATACAATTGTTGATGACCAGTCCACCTTCAAACATGGTCACTGCTGTTACTGTAATAGTTACTGTAAACCAACTAATTTTAGCGAACGATTTATTTTAGCGACTTTCGCGAGTAGAAAAATAACACGAATATAAATCGTAGCGAATATGAAAAACTTGGATCTTCCCTGATTGAAATACATCAAGTAAATTCGAAAATCGCGAAGTGGTCTAGAAAGGGGTAAACGTGAAATAAAGTATCCACGAAAATAAGTTGGTTTACAGTATGTAAAGACCTATTGGTACCAGACTTAGTACTTTTGTTTTCTAATTATAAGTTTGATTACTTTACACAATCTGGCTTTAGACAAGCCCACTTACAATTACACTTTTAGAAAAATTTACAAAAGGTTAGATATGAAAGTTATGACTAATCTTTGGTAAGGAGCCATTGGTATTATACTTTGAGTTGCCCTAATGACCGAACAAAGCTACTAAACTTTAAACAAAACATTCATTACCCTCATTTATTTCATTCATCTGAATAGCCAGCAGTAATTGTAAAGTGCTGATAATTTTAAAATGCTATGAAACATTTCTGATAATCCAGTGTTTGCTCCTGGACATAAGGAGGTTAGATAAGCTTTAAAGAGTTGGAGCGTGTCTATTGCTGATATTGGACATGGATCTAAGGGAGCAATACAGGCCCTTTAGAACCTCTAGTACTTGATCTAAGGGAGCAATACAGGCCCTTTAGAGCCTCTAGTACTTGATCTAAGGGAGCAATACAGGCCCTTTAGAGCCTCTAGTATTTGATCTAAGGGAGCAATACAGGCCCTTTAGAGCCTCTAGTACTTGATCTAAGGGAGCAATACAGGCCCTTTAGAGCCTCTAGTACTTGTTTTAGTCATTTCTGTATTTTCTAAATGAAACGAAATGCATGAAAATATTAAATAAAAATAATGATTAATAAATTTGTTTCATTCAGAAAAAGAAAGAAAAGTGAAGGAAAGAATGGATGAGATAGCTAATTACGTCCGAAAAGAAGATTCATTGATACTAAAACTACGTGTAGAAATGTTAATCTTAGAAAATTGTGAGGACTTTGCCCTTAATCTATGCAACTGTATAGTGAAGTACGAACCATTTAAAGATGATTTGGATTTGAGAGAGATGCAGTTTAAATTACTTCACAAACTTAACCACATGGATAAGCTTCAAGAAGAGGTAAGAACAATAACACACGAAAAAAATTTATATTTTTACATCAATTAATAGAATTTAGCACATGAAAGGTCTTTGATAATAGTAATAAGGCCAAAAAAATACAGTTGTTTCTTTTCTCCATACCATGACTTCCAAAACGGTTGTATTGTTCAGACAAGTCCAGGGAATTATATTTTTGTCTGGTTGTCCTGAGTGTGAATTGAACTTCGAACATGGGTTTGCCATTTTAACATAATTCAGAAAAAAATTGAAGTGTATTCGATCTTTTTGCCCTGACCGTTAGCCTTTAACAGCTACACATTCCGGGTCATAAAAGTGACATGATGAATAAGTACTATAAAAACAAGCTCTACTTTAACCCCCTCATTACAGTCAAGGTTAATTAGTCGTCTGTCAGTTGAAATTTACCTATTCAGGGGACAGGTACTCTATTTTGTACCAGACATCTATTGGCCTTTTCAAAGTTATTTTTCTGAAATATCACTGTTTTGCATCCAATAGATTTTGAAAAATGATTTATTCTAATTTGGGTTTTATAAAAGTCCAGACCTTTTTGGTTAAGTATCATTAAAGTGCAGGCCAGAATACTTCCATATATAGTCTATGTGAAGTATTAAGAATATTTTACTACCTACCAACCTTATTCTTTTCTGTCAGGATGCAAGATATAAGTATATATTTTTTGGCATTATGGGAAATAAATTTAGTTTTTGTTGTATGTATGCTTACTGGCAGTGTTTAAAAGTTAACTTGCACAAAAAAGAAAAAAAAAATACCCTGATGAACATTACAAATTGCATCTTAAGTTTGTTTTAGATTTTCAATAAAAAAAAACATGTCATAAAAATAGAAGTTGCCAGTAAAATATTTATGTGTTACATGGCTAATAGTATGCATTACAGTTTATATTGATTAATAAGGAATATAAGAGATTACCTCTTGGATTCATATATATCTTAAGGATGTACTTAGGTGAGGTTTTGGAACAAGTGTCAAATGTTCGGACTTCTTGGTGTTTTTCCATACAATAGAAGGTAAAACATTTTGCCCCATAACACCTATTTATCTTTTAGCATAAGACTTAATAGCTCATAAAAGGTCATTTGACAAAATTTAAGCAGATTCTTGATTTCCTTTATTTTGATTTGAGACCCAAATCATACTAATGCAAATATAAGGTAAAACTCCGCGTCAGCCTTTTCCCGCCATATTTTATAAATCAAATATCTCGAAAAGGAGCTCCATGACCTATCAATATTTTTAGCTTATTTTGATCCTTTACTTATACTCTTCCAGCTTAAAGTATCAATTTTGATTTCTTGATTCATCTAATTTTACCTTAGATCACCTAAGTACATCCTTAAAGAAAGGTGTGAGCAGTTTAGATATCACTAAAAACTTCCAAGTGTCAAGAACACAAAAAAAAAATACTATGAACAAAAAGGTGATAGTGATTAAAGGAAACGGAAAACAGTTCATGTTTATAAAAAAACAATTTAGCCTGCTTTGAATTAATACCTTAAATTGATATTAAATCCAAAAGATTGTCTAGGACTTCAATGGAAATGACCAACAGGTATCTAGAATAGATACGAAGGGGGCAAAGTTGAAATAGTTATACATTTTGTATTTTATTTTCTCCAGACTTGCAAAACAATGTCAATGAAAAAATTGTATATCGGATATCTTATTTCTATAGAAGTACATTGTAGAACAAAAATATTAGTATTAAACTGGCTTTCATGATGTCCACCAAAATACTATAAACAATGATGTGTACAATTGTGTATTTTAGTGTGAACAAATTGTATGTCATACTGGTATCAAGATAATAAACAGACTTGAACAAAAGGAAAGTAACCAGCAACTGTGTGTCAGACTTGTCCAGATTTTTCTTGTCCAAGACTGGATCAATCCAGATCGTAACTGCTGTACAAAGGTGAGGCCTGTTCCTCAAGTCAATGTGTTTGTTCATTAAAGTATGATAAGTGGTATTGGTTTATAGCACTCTGTTTCATGAAAGTTTGTAAAACTTACAACCTTTTAATCTTTATAAACTAAACAAATTATATTAGTTGCAGGCATGGTTTCAGATATACAGATAATTTCAATTTGAAATACGGAGATCTCATGTATAGTATGGCTGCCAACGAGACAACTGAAAGATGAGAACAATTAAAGGTCACCGTATGGCTTTAAGCAATGAGGAAACATATATAGATACTCATATCTAACAGACAAATATGTGTTGTGAACATCTGAAGGATGTTGCTTGATAGATCTTTGAAATTAGAATGGTTAAAAGGCACTTTTATTTTAATTTGATTGTGGTGGTTATTTTAGACAGATAGCCTTAACAATTATATGAAATAATCAATTGAAATTTTATGCATGGCAGTGTTAAATAAAAGTGCCTGGTGCACTAGTAGAATGAGCATCTCTTCTACATTTCAGAGACATGTCAGGTGCACTTGAAGAATGAACATCTCTTCTACATTTCAGAGACATGTCAGGTGCACTTGAAGAATGAGCATCTCTTCTTCTACATTTCAGAGACATGTCAGGTGCACTTGAATAATGAGCATCTCTTCTACATTTCAGAGATGTCAGGTGCACTTGAATAATGAGCATCTCTTCTACATTTCAGAGACATGTCAGGTGCACTTGAAGAATGACCATCTCTTCTACATGCTTTTAGCCCTGCTTTTGTCCTATAAAAAGTCCCTGACATGACAAAATATGAAACAGTCCAAATTAGAAAAACCACTACTTGATTTACCTAAAAACAGCAAAGGAAAAAACAGATTTGACAGACAGCAAACAATGAAAACCAATTAATCACAGGCTCCTGTCTTGGGATAAGAAATACAGAATATGATGGTGTTAAACACACAACAATGTTAAAAGCTGAAAGACAGAAAAACATACTAATTTGTTTATTAGTGATTATCTTCCATGCATATAGTTAAAACAATGACCTACTTAATATAATTCTGTTTTTCATTGATCAACTGCCTTTGAAAGTATGATTGCTGTTCCCGATGATCAGGTTGTGACAAATGTTCATCTATGATTTAATCTCCAAAATGCTAAATATATATATTTTAATTTCAGGAATTACTCAAGCTGTGGATTAGACACCAGTACATGGCAGACAGGGATAGAGCTAAATTCCTGGAAAATGTATGGTCTATTGCTAAGTTGTCCAGTAAAACAGAACAAATTTGTGTCCTAGTTACAGGTTTACAAAAAGAGGTATGTATATATGTATACTGGGTTGATTATAATTGGGTCTAAGTAATTGAAGTCCTTTAACCTTTAGATTTTTTGTATGCTGGTAGATGGTATAGATAATAAAAAAACACACAAAAGATATACCAATATGAACATGATGAATGAAACCATCATACAACCTTTTTTAGGAATAATTGCCCTTTAATGTAAAAAGTGTTTCTGTTATCTTGAAAACTATATAGTAAGAAAAGTAAAAAAAAACCCTGTCATCTTGAAAACTAGAAAGACAGAAAATGTAACAGCAAAAATTATCAGTTATACACAATTTAAAAAAATGCTTATATTATTGAGCGCTTCAATTGACTACATATAGGAATTATTGCACTTTGATATCTACTTTTTACCAAGCTTAGCATTTTTGTTTCCCTTGTGAAAGCTGTATAAGAAAGAGTGTAAATGTAATAAAAATAATCAGTAATATAAAAAGACCTACAAAAAGTCAATATGACAGAAACCAGATAGATTCTTGCAGAAGTTATTTTGCCCATATATATTTTTTTTTGCATTTTTAGCAATTATATTCAAAACTCAAATAGATCAAAAAGAAACTGAAAACAGTTTAGATTATGATGATAGAGTCAAACATAACCAAAATCATCAATTGACTCTTTAAAGGAGTTATTTCCCTTGAACTACAGTTTTCCCACTTTTTGCACTTTTTTGTTATTATCTTGAAAACTTAGATAGCAGCTTCTAAAAATGATCAACAAGATAAGATGTACATTACATTAAACATGACTGAAATCATACATTCACTTCATAAGATAGTTCTTGCTCTGAAATGACAACTTTTACACATTTTTGTCTCGCCTTGACGAAGTCAGAAAGCGAGACAGGTATGCTGTTTCCAGCGTCGGGGGCAGTGGCATCAACAATGTATTTGTTTGTGATTAGGTCTAGTTGATGGTGAACCACTAGTGGTAGGTCAATGATATTTGGTATGCAGTTGTATTAGCATTGGCACATCTCACTTCCATGGAAATTATTTGGCCCTGCCCTCTCATTCATGGTCTATTGACTTTGAAACTTTTGCTTAGTTTACATGTATTAGTTTGTGATTAGGTCAGTTCAAGAGGAACCATTAGTGGTAGGCCAATGTTAATTGGTATTCAGTTGTATAAGCCAGGGTTTAAGCTAGGATTTTGAGGGCTTTAGTCACTTTTGTGTGGGATGAAAATCAACCTTATTTTGGGTAGCAGCAAGGGACCTAGGATGTATATTACTATCTATACATCTTTGTCAGACTTTGAAGGACTTAGGCATACTAGGCAGTTACTGCATGATTTGACTGATGTGGATACGAAGATTAGGATATAAGATCTAGAAATCTAGTTCACAATTTCACTTCAGTTAGTTTCAGGACACATTCCTAATCAGCAAAAGTTGGGATCCATTTTTTTTTTAAACCAGGAATCACAGCATAAATGAACTTGTAAGGACTATTTCACTGCATTATTCATACCCATTATCCTTAAAAACGTTTTAAATCGATATTTAGAATTATTAATTCTGTAAAGTTGAAACCAAGGATTTGTACAAATCCTTATTGGAACAATTCTAATAACTTTAAATTGTAAATTTATCATGAATAGTTCACGTTTACTTTCGATTTCCAAATGAAATGAAAACGGGAAGTGACAAGTGGATAATAAATTCAGAATGAATCCGGATTCATCTATGGATTGGTTCATGTTTAAAAAAGGCAGGAAATTATCATTTTTGTCGAGCCTTCGACTTTAGTCGAAAAAGCGAGACATAGCGATCCTACATTCCGTCGGCGGCGTCCACTCTGTGGTTAAAGTTTTTGAAATTTTAATAACTTTCTTAAACTATCCTGGATTTCTACCAAACTTGGACAGAAGCTTGTTTATGATCATAAGATAGTATCGAGAAGTAAATTTTGTAAAAATAAAATTCCATTTTTTCCGTATTTTACTTAATATAAATGGACTTAGTTTTTCTGCCGGGAAATATTACATTCACTCTGTGGTTAAAGTTTTTGAAATTTTAATAACTTTCTTAAACTATCCTGGGTTTCTACCAAACTTGGACAGAAGCTTGTTTATGATCATAAGATAGTATCCAGAAGTAAATTTTGTAAAAAAAAAAAATCCATTTTTTCCTTATTTTACTTTTAAATGGACTTAGATTTTCTGCCAGGAAACAACACATTCACTCTGTGGTTAAAGTTTTTAAAATTTTAATAACTTTCTTATACTAATTTGGATTTGTACCAAACTTGGACAGAAGCTTGTTTATGATCAAAAGCTAGTATCTAGAAGGAAATTTAGTAAAAAAATAAATCCATTTTTTCCGTATTTTACTTTTAAATGGACTTAGATTTTCTGCCAGGAAACAACACATTCACTCTGTGGTTAAAGTTTTTAAAATTTTAATAACTTTCTTATACTATTTTGGATTAGTACCAAACTTGGACAGAAGTTCTATTTATGATCAAATGCTAGTATCTAGAAGGAAATTTTGTTTTCTTCCAGTTAACATTACATTCAGTCTGCAGTTAAAGTTTTAAAACATTTATTAGATTCATAAACTATCCTGGATTTTTACCAAACTTGGACAGAAGTTTCTTACAATCAAAAGATAGTATCAAGAGGAATATTTTTATTGATTTACTTCCTAATTTTTGTTGAGCCTGCGATTAACAGAAAAAGTAGGCGAGACACTGGGTTCCGTGGAACCTTTACAAATTTTTTAAATTAAATTTGCTAAATAAGAACTATATTTGTCTCTTTCGTTTAGTTTGATACTTAATTATTTCATATTTTACCTTTTAGTGTCTTTAAATTCATAAGAATACTTTGGCGCATGCGCAGTTCATCGTAAAGGAAGCACCTGTTTGACTCGTGAATACATGTACATTTCTGAATGTTAATGAATAAAGTTCTATCATTTAAATCGAAATTGTCGAAAGTTTTTTATTAAAAGTTATATCAAATATGATGAAAATACGTTCACTTGACGGAACTACAACAAGCGAACTGCAAATTGTGATCATTTGAGAAATATTGAAATTAAAATGCGATTTGTCCGAGGGAAAACTCAAATAACGAAACTACGAAAAACGAACTGCAAATTGTGCTCGTTTGATAAATATTGAAATTGAAATACCGACTGACTGATTTTACTGGGCAAAATAATTATGATGATCAATTATGAGGTTAATAAATAATTAACGGAGGAGTGACCCATCCGATGGCGATAAGCGGATTATCTGTAATCACAACTTATAACACCTGTTGTAAATGTTAATTAGCTGAGGGTCATAAACTTGTCAGAAACAATAAGACAGGTAGAATTATAGTGTTTTCATGCGAAAATATTTTTACTCTTTCCAAATTTAAGTAACGAAATTGATTTGCAATACTTTCGTCATTTTGAAAACCGTTTGGTAAATGACGAAAATGACGAGCGCTAGCAAAATCACTGGTATAAGCATTGGAATATCTCATTTCATGGAGATTATTTGGCTGTGCCCCCTCAGTCATGGTCTATTGACTTTGAAACTTTTGCTTAGTTTTCATGTATTAGTTTGTGATTAGGTCAGTTTAAGGGGAACTGTTAATGGTAGGTCAATGTTAATTGGTATGCAGTTGTATAAGCATTATCACATCTCATTTCCATGGAGAATATTTGGTCCTTACCCCTCAGTCATGGTCTATTGACTTTGAAACTTTTGTTTAGTTTACATGTATTAGTTTGTGATTAGGTCAGTTTAAGATGAACAAATAATGTTAAGTCAATGATATTCAGTATGCAAATGTATTGGCATTTGCAAGTTTCATTTCCATGGAGATTATATAACCCCACCCCCTAATTATGGTTCATTGACTTTGAAACTTTTACATAGTTTACAAGTTAATGTTTGTGTTTAGGTTTGTTTAAAGGGAACAACTTATGAAAAGTCAATGGTATTTGGTTTGCAGTTGTATTAGCATTGGCACATCTCATTTCCATGGAGATTGTTTAGCCCTGTACCTTCAGTCATGGTTCATTGACTTTGAATATTTGTATAACTTACATGTTAAAGTATTGCTATTTTAATTTCAACATTTGCATTATCAAAATAACAAAAAGGCGAGACATATCTCTGTGTTAACAGTTTATTTGTAAGAAGTTTTTCTTATTATTTCAGTGTGGGATAAAGTTACGCCAGCTGTATACCGATTTGTGTGTTTATGCTATTAATTTGGACAAAGGAGGGTGTGAACAGGAGATGATGCACAACAACATGGATGGTGTTAAAGAGAAACAAATATCAATGGCTGCAACTTGTGAAAAATTGGCAAATATTATTGCTATGAACAATCTAAAAGCAGCAAAAGTTAGTGCTTTGACAGCATTTGCTTTGAATCCTTCTCGATCAAACATGTATCTAGTGGAAAAAATGTATGTGAATAAAACTTTAAACCAAGCTTCAACTAAGCGATTAGAAAAAATGAACAAAGGAAAGGACAGAAGGACAACTCATGATGGAGAAGTAAATCTGGCAACACTGTATGAGGTGGAACGAATATTGAACATGTTGAGACCATATTACTTAAACCCAGATTTGTCTTGGTCAGAATTGTTTCCAGTATGTCAAAAATTCATGTTGGAAAAAGGGACAAACAGTTCCAAAGAAACACAAAAGTCTCCAAAGGAGAAAATGTCTGATTCTGTTAAAGATGGACTGATGCAATATTATTGTGATGATACTACACAGTTTACACCGTATAAACAGGCAGCAAAGGCCCCCACTGGCACTTCTCCGCCAAAATCACCATGGACTACCAAGACTGCCACTCAAAGCAAACCAGCTGTTAACAAAGAATCTAAATTGATTCCATATGCAAAACTTCAAACTATGTCTATTGAAGGAGGTCCAATTGACATGACAAAGTCTAATCAAGAAGCTTCATTAAAGCCAAAAGTAAAACCAGAAAAAACCATTGACTTTGCCAAACTTCTGGAAGCAACCAAAAATATGCCTCAGATGCAAGCACTGAGCAAAATTACAACACAAGTTCCAAAGAAGACACCACCTTCAACTCATGGAAATTTTCAAATACCATATGTACCGGGACTTACTACAAAAGAAGTTGAGCGTGCTTTAGTTCAACATCAAAAAAATTTGAGTCGATCATTTTCTGTAGACCAGTTAACAGTGCAAAAATCAAAGGTCAGTTCTTCTGATGTACATCAAAAACAAGCACAACGTTCTAGAACTCTGTCTTTAGAACGACAGGTCTCAGAACCTGGTCAGATGTCAGCATGGAGTTCTGCTACTGATTTAAGCAAAATGTCAAAGCATCGTCCAAAAATCATTCCAGAGAGATCACAAGATAAAGCTTTAACATCATTCCAACATTCATTTGGAAGTAATGCTAACCAATCTTCCTCCTCAAACAAATCTTCCCTTCACAAAAGCCTTCCGAGTAAGCAGCTTCAAACAGCAAAAGAAGTAACAAGTACACAAAAAGTAACCAGTGACAAACAAAGTGCTACAACCGCAACTCCAGCACGTAGAAGTAGACAGCCATCAAAAGAGGAGCTTCAAAGTATTGTTGACTGGTTACAAATTGGTACAGAGGATGCAAAAATAAATCCACAGCTTGTTTTAAAACAGTCAAAGGAGGAAAATGTAGGATTGGTTCCTAAAAAGAAGAAAGAAGGTTCAACAAAAACTAGCAGTCAGGATAATCCTGTTCAATATGTAGCGTTTGGATCTAGTCCGAGTCAAGCTTTTCAAAATACAAAACCTGGTCAGCAGTTAAAAATTAAGCGTGATGATTCGAAAAATTTTGCTAGTCAGGTGATGACAAAAGTTGGCATCAGACCAGGAATGACTGAAGAACAAATAAATATTGCCAAAATTAAATTGATAATGCGCCAACAACAAGAGGAGGCATTAAAGGAAAAACAGCTAAAGGAACAACAGAAAAAACAACAACAGGCGTTGTCCAAAGGATTCTTGTTGATTCCTGGTTCAGCCCATATGGTTATGCAATCAAAACTGCAAGGACACAGAACTAAATTGTTACAGGAAAAAAACAAACTGAAAACTGCAGTGCAACCTTCAAGTCCATCACCAGTATCAACAGTAACAACAACAACAGTGACAACCTCCAACTATCAGCCTCAACTTCAGAATATTGGGTCACATGATGGATATATGTTTGTCAACCAGATGATCCAATCAACAAAACAGCAAAGCAAAAACCAAACTGATTTATCAAAACAGCCAACACTTAATCTCGGTGCTCAACCAATAACTAGTCAAGTTTCTACATCTTTGTCATCTTCTGATGGCCATTCCAAACCTTCCAAATATCGAGAGGTTGACATTCAAAATGCATTGCAATCTTTATCAAAAGTCCTGGATAAATCATCAACATTTCTAAACCAGAATACAACGTCCTTTAGCAAGTCTAATAAACCTAAAGAAGAACGACCTGCTCGTCCAGCATCAGCCATGCCAAGTCTCATGTCAACCACAACAATTGTAGTAACAACACAACCAAGATTAACATTATTACAGTCATTTACAAGTTCTCAGACATCCACTACTGTAACTTCTGCACAAAAGCAACAGAATGTTCAAGGACAAAACTCAGCATATCAACTTTTGTATCTAGGACAAATTAAAACTGGAAATTCATCTGAATTAACTCCAATCCAACAATTAAGTGGTGCTTCAACATCAAACATTTCTAATCAAATGAATAGTGTTCCAGTGCAAAATACGAACTCTGTGAGTTTAGCTTGTCAAGGAATGGCTGTTCAATCACTTCCCATTCAAAATCTGAATAGTCAGTCATTAGTACAAAATTTTGGTGCTCAAAACCTGTCGATTCAAAACACTTGTTCTCCGTCAGTTCAAACGGCTAGTACTGAAAATGTAATGCTGCAAGGACTAGGAGCTGTGTCACAGCCAATAGAAGAACAGACATTTAGTGCTCCAAATATGACTTTACAACAAATGAATGTTCAGGGAATGGCAGTTCAAACGATGAACCCTCAAAACATAGCAATACAGGGCATACAAGCTGAAACAATGAATACTCAGAACATGGTAGTACAGGATATACTGCCTCAAGCTGTTCAGACATTAAACATTCAAGGAAGTAACACTGAGGGATTGGCTATTCAAACAGTGAATACACAGAATGCTATAGTACAAGGATTTGGTGCTCAGACTTTAGGATTTCAAACAATTAGTGGTCAGACAGACATTCAAACAATAGGTGGTCAGACTAACATGCAAACTATTAGTGCTCCAGAATTTAGTGTTCAAGGAATCACAAATGATAACAATATTGTACAGATCAATCAGCCAGTTGAGTTTCAAGGACTAACTTACCAGCCTTCTTTAGATACAAACTCTCTAGCACTTGGGCATGTGAACCAAGGCCAGGCCTTTATTGGTGTCCCTAATATACCACCATCTTCACAAACAATAGGCTTTACAAGTTTGCCTGATGGAGGCATTAGCATGAACATAAAACGTGCAGTTCCGAACACCAGTGTCACGTTTACAAATTCAACTAGAGTAATGTCTGCAGAAGTGTCTACACCAACAAACATTTTGCCATTAAATGGTCAGAATTCATCCACAATTAACAATGTAATCATACCAGGGAACAACTTGACCTTGACCCAGACAACTGGTCAAGCACCAATGAATTTTATTGGAAACATGTTACAAGGAGGAACTATATCAAATACCTCTATTACGGGAAATGTTATATCTTCTGGTCCCGCTTCATTTAATCTGGTTCACAACACAACATTGCAACCAGGACAAATTATTCTACCAAACTCTTCTAATGTGCAGAATAATTTGACAAATAGCTTAAACCATCCAACGGCATTTGTTCCTGGAATTAATACAACACCAGTCGCCTTTGGTACACCTTCACTTTCTACATCAACACTTAACTTGAACCAACCAATGACAATTCTTCCTGGCATTAAAACAACACCAGTCGCCTTTGGTACACCTTCACTTTCTACATCAACACTTAACTTGAACCAACCAATGACAATTCTTCCTGGCATTAAAACAACACCAGTCGCCTTTGGTACACCTTCACTTTCTACATCAACAGCAATATCTCCAAAAATGCCAAAACAAAATGTTTCAATACTGCCAAAAATAGCAACAACTACCAATAATGTTTCAATACTGCCAAAAACAGCAACAACTACCAATAATGTTGTTGTTGGTCCTTTTAGATTTGTCCCCGACTCTTTAGTCACAGTTCCAGCGAGTTCAAGTTCACAAGGTTATTTGCTTCCAGTCACAAATTCTGCACCGACCATTCTTCCAAGTTATGAAAGTAATCCAGCATCAGCATCAAATTTAGTAAATGTTACTATGTCTGTGGCTCAACCAATGGACATGACTATTCAGTCACCAATATTAGAGGCCATGTTAAATAGAGGAAAGGGTGGAACTCTGGAAGCTTCAAGTAACAAAATAACTGAAACTACCCCTGTGACACCCAAGAAACATAACTTTGAAATTGTAAGACGGGTCAGTGCAAGTGAACTTGAAAGGGAGACTATAAGCACTACTTCAAGCTTGAGTTCTATGTCTAGTAAATCAGTTAGCCTTGTAGCAAGCAGTGAATTTCAACAAAATAATGTTTCAGATATCAACAGTGTTCCAGTTGATGAAAATTTGAAGTTGCTTGGAAATGTTGATACTACAATACCTACACAATCTGGAATAGACAGTTTACTAACAAATACCATGTCACCTATCTCTAATCCATCTGGTTTAAATATTGTTGACGTTCATATTACCACTTTTAGTAATGAGAAAAAGGAGAATGAAGCACAGGATCATTCCAGTAGTGAAACAGCAGAACAAACTTCAGACAATCAAAATACGCTTTCAAGTCCTAAGTCCAAGTATTCTGAAAATGATAAACAAGACAAAAGTGGGACAAAGTTGTTGTCAGACACTGTTCATGAAAACTTTTGGAAGGATTTCAGTCGTTTTAAGGAGAGATTGGCAAGTAATAAAAAGTCTATAACCTCGGCAAGTAAAGATGATAAAAATATTTTAGAAAACAATGCAGAACATGAGGACTCCTGTGAAATGACAGATAAAGAGTCACAAAATAATACAGAGGTCAATAAGAGTTTAGAAGAATTTACATACAGACAGCTTATTGACAAAAAAATCACGAACATATTGTGTAGTCCAGAGAAAAGTTCTGATGTTGAAAAGATGTCAAATGAATCGAATAATCAGTATGTAAAACCTACTTGTGACTTACAAGAAAATGATCCTAAAGCTTTAAACGTAGAAAAGGTTGACAACAGTCATGTGACAGGAGAGAAAGCAACTTTAGTGTCTGAATATATCAATGCAGACATTGGTCAGAATAACACACAGAAATCTAACATAGACAATACAGAGATAAGTCTGGATGTACTATCACCTCCGAGGACAGAAATCATAGAAACACACACAAAGATGGAGGACTCCAAGGTAGAATCTTCTACAAGGATGGATGAGATAGACATAGGGGATCGATATTACAATAGTGTGGATGAGGAAAATATGAAAAATGGAAATAATGATTCAGGTTCTTTTGGAAATACAAATTCAGAAATAGATCAGTCCCTTCATGACGCTGATATTCAAACTAATGAAATTATACTAGAAAAAGATATGCAAAGTCAGGTTAAAAGTGAACTTGATACAAGTGTTGTGTTATCAAATGCAGATTCAGACAGTGAGAAACAATGTAGTATAAAAGTTGACAACATTGAATTGTCTAATGCACATTATGTAGTATCAGAAAAAGAGAAGTTAGATAGGGAAAAAGGAATGGTGGTACATTCAGATAGAAGGACAGTTTCTGCAGTTGGCAATACGGTTACTGCTGAAAATGATAATGATTTAAAAACTTCTGAAAATGTGGGAAAATCAGAAGAAAAACCTGATAGTGATCATGAGGAAACAAGAGCAGAGATTGAAGGAGATCAAAGTTTTAATGAAGCCAATGTTACAGTGAATAAAACAACAAATCAATTTAGTCAACTTGTTGATTATTCAGAAACTTCTGATTCTGATGCAAATTTAGACAAAGGATCAAAACTTGTCAACATCGTGGACTACCCAGAATCGTCAGACTCCGACACAGAAAATGAGAACCTAGGGAAAAATGTAGATGTTCTCAAACCAAGTGTAGTTACTGATACTATTGTTCAGAAAATAGATGAACCTTCCAAAAGTTCCAATTTAAAAACAAAACAGGATATTGTAGATAGTGATACAGAACAGACACTCAAACAAATAGCTACACTGAGTGACATACACCAAGAGACCAATGATGATAAAGTTGTAACAGATTCTCATGGTGACAGAATCGTTTTCCCAGATCAGGTAATTTTAAATGTATGCTGTGTAATTTATATAAATGTATGTATGCTAGGGTGTAAGTTAATGATCTTATTTTTGTTTGTGCCTCATTAGAGTTTCCTGCAGCTTTTGAAAAGGGCATGGTAATTTTTTTCTCAGAGAGCACTCTTAGCGCGATTGGCTACACTTTAAGGGCATCCTTTGCACAGAGGACTACACTGTTAGGGCACTCTGTACATAGATATATGAGTCATAAACACTTTGTATCAGAGGACTACACTGTTAGGGCACTCTTTACATAGATATATGAGTCATAAACACTTTGTATCCATGCCCATGGTGACAATGTGAATAATACATTTTATGATATAAAAAATCTCATTATGCAATTAATAAAGACTAATTAAAGCAGCTTTGGTTATGGATTAATATAGCTAGCTGGTATGTAAATATCTTATGGAAATAAAGAGATTGTGTATGATTTCTTATTAGTTAACTATCCACCAAGGATGTAAACGACAGGTCATCTTATGGCCTTTAACAATGAGCAAAGTCGATATTAGTTAACTATTCACCAAGGATGTAAACTACAGGTCATCTTATGGCCTTTAACAATGAGCAAAGTTGATATTAGTTAACTATTCACCAAGGATGTAAACTACATGTCATCTTATGGCCTTTAACAATGAGCAAAGTTGATATTAGTTAACTATTCACCAAGGATGTAAACTACAGGTCACTTTAACAATGAGCAAAGTTGATATTAGTTAACTATCCACCAAGGATGTAAACTACAGGTCATCTTATGGCCTTTAACAAAATGTTTAACAATGAGCAAAGTTGATACCATATATATAGAAAGCTTTAATAAACAGCAGGATGACCAAATGTGAAACAATTTAAAAGAAAACTTAAGGGCATTATATAAGCTAATAACATTAAACAAAAAACACTTATGACAGACAGAAGCCACCAGAAAACAGCTAGCTCCTGGCTTGGAGCATGTAGTTTTACACATGTCAATCATTCTGTCGTTCACAAATATTTCACTTATCTAGATTTGTTTTTGTGATGTCTTTAGATATTGAACTATTTTTTGGTGTTTAAATACAATTTCTAGTTATTGCATTTCATTCCATTTGTCTAGCATTTGACAGAATTATTGTTTAAATGTGAAGATATCAGGTTACAGTGCTGTCAAGTGTCATGCCATTTTGCGTGAGACATGCATTTTCATGCTTATTTAATGGCATTTTCCTTTGATCTATAGTTTTTTTCTCTTTGATCTTTACAATTTTTGCCAAATCTTAAGCATTTGCTTCATGAGAACTTGACAGCCCTGAGGTTACAACTTATAAATGTCATTGACACAGCAACATAAACAAAAAACACACACAAGAGAAAGTTTACAATAAAGTTGATAACCACAGGTTTTGTAATGTTAGCTTTAAAACCATACATGTACTCAAACCTTTACAAAACTGGCTTTGCCCCATGGGATAAAGACAGAAACATTTTATTTTGATATATTTATGATGGTAGCAGATGTTGCTTTATGGTTAGATGTTGGTATTTCTCTAGAAAATTTAATATAACCAGATGTATTTTTTGGGGAAACAGGCTTCCAGGAGGATGTAGTTATCATGATAAATCTTCTATTCAGGGCAATTTAATTTTGAAATGAGACTGTATAATGTACTTAATTTGGTTTCATCGCCATCTATGTTTTAGGTATCGGAGAATGCTGAAGATGTCAGCCTGTCAAGCAAAGAGGAGAATGTGCAGAAAGATGAGATAAGATCTCCATTATGTAACAAGGAAATGGAGGTATCAGTGTCATCAGTTATCTCACCACCATCAGATAAGGTTAATACTCAGGACATCAAGGAAGTATCGAACTCGTATGATCTTGCTTCAAAAGACAGAGAAAATGTGAAAATCAGTGGTTCAAATAATGAATGCATTCAAGCAGAATCTGATCTGTATATTGAAAATAATACTGATCTTGAAAAGTCAGAACAGAGTGATTCTGAAATAAACAAAAATGATTCTGATGCCACGACACCAAAGAAAAATGATTTGGTGACAAACTATAAAAAATTAATGGATGAAATGCTAAGTTTATCTTCGTCGAAACAATCAGCTCAGCTAACTCAAAGTAATGATAAATTTTCTATGAACAGAAGTTTTGGTTTTGATGATTTAGAAAAGAATGAGTCTGCATCAAGACAGAATGGCACTCAAGATAGGTCTCTCGATAGTTTTAGTATTTTTGCTGATGATTGGAATAAGCTACCAGAAAGTTGCACACAGAGAGACTTAACTACAAGAAGTTTACCTGATGATTGGGCACCAAGATGGTCAAGACAATTGGAGCACTCCTTTTCGAAGGAAGGAAGAACTCTTAAACGGTCGTTTTCAGATGTTGATCTGTCTAAAATTGATGGAAATTCTTCAGATTTTGAATCTCAGTCTGTTATATCTGATAGAGAGTATCAAGAAAAGAGTCTACAAGGATTTCAGATGTCAGAGACCAGAAAGAATAATATCCCAGAAAGTTTTCACATGTATAAATTGAACTTTTGTGGGAAAAGTGGAAAATACAGATTAGCATTGCCTCAATTAAAATCCAATAAAATCAGACCAAAACCTCAAACCTCTTTGTTAACTTATAATGAATGGAAGAACAAGGATAAAACTGTTGAAATTGTCACTCAGCAAATAATAGAATCGGTACCCATCAAACCAGAAATTCCAATAGGAACATTAAAGGAACGTAAACTACAAGATAAACCAAAATGTAAAATATGTCAAAGAACATTTGATACAATCAAAAGATTGCAACAACATGTTAAACATCCATGTCGAATGGACCTTCGCAAAACGCTGGATTGTGAATATGTATTTACATGTAATATATGTAAAGCTTCTTTACAAACTGAATTTGCTGCTAAACTTCATTGTGAAGTTTGTAACGGGAGAAATGTGGATTCCGGTTACAGTACGAATACTTACTTTAGATGTAAAATGTGTGGGGAAAAGTTTATCTTACAAAAGAGTGCTTGTGATCATGTGGATAAGTTGTGCAAAAAGTTACCTAAGCATGGCCATTCACCAAAACATTCATTTACTTTAGAAAAATCAGAATCGCTGAGTAATTTATTGACGTTGTCTACAGAAAAAGACAGTAGTGATATGAACAATGAAAAGTCAATCACAAAGCAAAGAAAGAAATCAGAGGAAAGCATTAAAGAAAAAAATCATTCTAATGCTGTTAAACAGGATCGACAGAAAAACATGGAAGATGAACCTGATAACCTGTCAGTCATCCCAAATATTAACCCCAAGGTAGGGGTCACACAGGAACTTGCCGAAAATGAAATGTTACAAGCAACGCAAGACTTAAAAGTTCTTGAAATAAAATCTAAGAGGCAGAAAATTGAATTTGAAAAAGATATAGACAATGAAAGTGTGAAAAGTTTTTCAACAGAATCATCATATGTTACAATAGATGCCAGTGAAACATCATCAATCAAGAGTGGTGATTACAAGCCAAGAGCTGTTCAACAGAAACATTCAGCTAGGTTGATTAACAAAAAAATAGGTAAAAGAATGATTAAAGCCAAAAAGTTCTTTGGTGATCAGTTTGAAGTCCCAGAGTTTGTTGAGAAACAAGCGAAGAAGGTTAATTTAAAGAGAAAATTCAAACCAGGTTATAGATCGAATTTAAATATTTCTCCAAAACTTAGGAGAGCATTGAAAAACAAGAAAAATTCTAAAGTAAGAAAAACAATTGAAGCTTTGAAAAATAAGAAAATTTCTAAAGTGAAAGAACAAATTAAAATAAACTCTAGGTGGAAAAACCAAAATAAAGTGTTAAAAGATGACATAGGATTTAAAGTAACCAAAAGTAGGAGAGAACTTACAGAAAAGGTGACGAGCTACAAAAGAGAGAACTTTACAATCGCTGACAGTATGGATTTATTCAAACATTTAACCTTTGAAAAAAATGGTAGGAAAGTTTTCAGATGTCCTATAAGAATTTGTAGAGGACCTTATTCAACTCAGTTTTCTATGATGTCACATTTTGACAAGCGCCATAATATCATAATGTACAAGAAAACAAAAAGTAAAGACTTTCAGTGCACATATTGCAGTTTCCGTGGTAACAGTGAAAACAAAATAGTTGCACACTCAGCAAACCACTTGACAGATATCATCATTGACAATATCTCAAATTCTTCTTTGAATGTGATAACAGGCTTGTTATCAATGATAAACCAAAAAGAAAATGAAAGCATAAGTCAAAGTCAAGACACATTATCGATTAATAACAAAACTGTTTCAAAAGTAACGCAAGTCATAGATAATGATTCTAACTCTGGTCAGGATATAAGCAGAAACAAGACTTCTGTCAGAACAAGGAAAACTGGTATAATTGAAGAACTTGGCATACAGGAGGAGAAAATAAGAAAGGAAGTAAAATGTGGTGTTAAGGACGGTATGGTCAGCAAAAAGGGGAAAGAAGATACTATTATCATTAAAAGCTCTAAAAAGACAATCGAGAAATTACCAAAGAAAGAAGTAAAATCAAATAACAATACCCCAGAACAGCATTCCATCCGTGAGTCGATTCCCGAGAGACAACGTAGCAGACGGCACAGTGAAAAGATTACTCCTGATAAGGAACTGGCCATAAAGACTGAGACTGATAATGAATTTGAAAATAATCAGGATTTACTTCAATCACCTGATTCGTCTTTTGTAAGGAGAAGTTCTCGGAAGAGAACAGATGGTCTATCAGTGTATAAAGATTTCCAGCTGTCCAATAAAAAGGCATCAAAATCTGTTGAAGAGGACGATGCAGGATGTAGAAGTGAACAAAATCAGTCACAGTGTGAAATAGATGTTAAAGAAGGCAAAGTACTCAACAAGTCTTTCAATACTAGAAGTTCTAAGACAAATAATACAGACATAGATAATACATGTACAAATAAAGATCTAAAGAAAGAGGACACAAGAGAGAAATTGAATGATAAAACAGTAACCTCAAGATCTAGAAATCATAAAAGGGATTCAAATTTAAAGGAGACAGAAAATTGTGACATTGCTGAAAAAACAAATGATAAAAAAGTGATCACAAAGTGTAGAAACTTAGACAAAACTTCAGTAATGAATACTAGAAAGTCAGTGGAGAAAAAGTCTCCTAAAGTTGAACTTGAATCAGATTTGTCAAGGTCACACAACACAAGGAGACGACATTTAAGTTTAGAATCAAATTCAAGTAAAATTTCTGATTCAGCAGCAGAAAATGGGAAAAGTGAGAAGTCAGAAATACCATCTAAACGCAGTAATAGGAAAAGACATTCAAGTCAGGAATCAGAATCAAGTAAAACTTCAGTTATAACGGCTGAAGACGTGAAAAAAGAGGCAATAGAAGTATTGTGTACACGCAGTACCAGGAAAAGGCATTCAAGTTGGGAATCAGATGCAAGTAAAATGTCTAACCAAGATAAAAAAATCAAAAGGGAAAATTTTAACTCAGCTGATAAGAAAAATTGTAAAAAGGACCAACACTCAAGCAAGAAGAAAAAACGAGTTTCTAGATCTGATCAACAATTACTAGAGGCAAACAAAAATTTAACGGAGCCTCAGCCCCGCAAACGAGTTAGTTTGGGAGAAAAGGCAGATGAAATTGATTGTTTGAAAAGTGATAGGCATTTAAGAGACCGAAAATCAGTGGAAAATAGTAAAGAAATGAAACAGAAAGATGGTAACAGCAGTAAGAAGAAGAAAGAGTTATCTAAGACCTCGGAGGGAGGGAAGGATACTCAGAATGCCTTCCTTGACAGTTTTAAGCAATTTGTCGGAATCTCAAAACCAACCTCTGTCTCAAATCCAATCAAAAGTCTCAAGCAAGGAAAATCCCATAAACTTAAATCTCAGGCAATAATTCATCAAAGAAAGCAGTTAAGGAAAGTGAAAGAAGGGAAGATTCATGTAGAACAGAATGCTATAAATAAGATGGAACTTGTTGATCTCATTGAAATAAAAGATTTCAGGAAATCAAACAAAAATACCTCTAAGGACAACAAAAAAGTAGAAGTTATAGATCTGACGGAAGACTTGGAAAGTGCATCTACTAAACAACAATTAACCAAAGAAGCGGGTTCTTCATCAAATTCCAAATTGAATAATTCTACCTCACCTTCTCATAAGCCATCATTCCTTGATAGTTTTCTGGCACATGTTAGTATTGACTCCAATAAATTTGACGTAAAAAACTCGTCTAATAAGAGGAAAAATGATTTTTCATCAAACTTTGATGCTAAAATCAAGAAGACAAGCTCAGAGAAACCTGACCGTAAGATACCTGAAAGCCATAGCCATGACAGAAAAAATCTGAAAGGTTCAAATAAACAACATGCAAAGTCAGAGAAGGCTCCTGATGAACAGAAGAAGTCCATAAAGGAGCAGACCAGGTATGTATGATATATAAATAAGAGACCTGGTACGATTTCCAATGAGATAACTGTCCGCCAGAGGACAAATGGCATGGATTTAAGCAATTATAGGTCACCTTTCAGCTTAACAATAAGCAAAAATGATATTGTATAGTCAACTATAAGAGGCAGTTGAATTACAAAATATGAAACAATTCAAACAAGAAATTAAATGGACTGATTAGAATAGTGGATAGGTTCAGGTTAGATTTCTACAAACTACACAGGTTTAGAAATCAAACAGTTAATGGATAATCTCTTACAGCATAGCGGTTTAAATAACAGAAGACAATTGTTAATCTTAAAAAGTGATTAACATATAGCTCCTTGGGAAATATGCATTGATATTGTGATATTTGATTGAGGAGGGGGCATAAGAACAGTACACATGATTAAAACATTGGTACCAAATTTCAAGAGCTAGAAGCACAGACAAAAGCATAGAGTAGTTTATAAGTGGAAAAATGTGTAAAAGTTTTATAAAAGAGAAAAAGCTTTACCATATTTGCAAAATTATAACAGTAGCTCACATGACATAGGCTGGTCATTAAGAAACAAGTTATCCTTTCACCTTTGGAAGTAAATTTTTTACACTCTTTTCCCACTTAAAATGCTTTATAAATACTGTAAATTCAGAAATTATTGCAAGGTTTATATTAATTGGAATAATGGGACTGGTTGAGTATTGCAATAACAAGAACTAGCATTCTGATATCTCATACGTATATCTGTTTGTAGATTTTCCTAAAATTGCAATAATTAATCTCACATTTTTATTCATTTTTCAAAAATTGTAATATGAATAATTTCTGAATTTACAGTATTAATATTCTCTCTGAATTTCAGGAAAAACATGCATGCTGAAACTATAACAAACATATTTTTCTTGAATAGATGACCAACTGCTTATACACGTAGTAGGTGAATACATCATTATATGAACTATTATATACCACTTCAAAGGACCGAAATTTTACAAATCAGTGATAATATTTACGTTGTCAGTAGTTTGACATGAAACAGGTGTGGTATCAAGATGCAACTTCGTCACAGAACATGAAAACACAGCAATGGCGCTGTGGTGCTTTAAGGGCCTGGGAAAAACGCTTTTTATATCCATGAAAATGAATGATTCTTCACTATAACGGAAATTAATGGACTCCTTATTGGCGTTACTACCCATTAATCATAATTAATCAACAATATTATGTCAAATTAATTACCAATATGACTGAAACCATTTATTAACTCCTTATGTAGCAGTGAATGCCCTTTTATTGCAATTGCCTATTAATTTGAAGACTTTTAGATCAACAGAAATTGGAAACAGCAAAAATTAAGATAAAGGCAAAATTTACAAAAAGACCCATGACTGAAGCTGTCAATTGACTTTGATGGAGTTATTACCATCAATAACTATATTATCTATTATTTGTATTATTGTTATAAAGATCTTCACTTCGGAAACTAATTAATCAATTTACACCTATTTTGAAATGAATGATCCTTAGTTTGTCTTGATTTATGTATAGAATTTTAATAATAGATTATCTAGTGTTCTTCACATTGGTATTGTTAATTATCAGCCATGATATAAAAGTTACGAAGTGACTGAGCAGGGAGGCTCAGGGAAACACATTAATTACTTCTATCAATTATTGGCTGCTGTGACTTTACAAGGCAGAGGTATAAAGCAAATAATATCAAAAATCTTGAAAACTGAAAGTAATTACGGAAAATCTGACTTGGGGAAAACATTCTCAGAAAGTTAAATTGACTTGGAATATTTTGTAGGTTGCATAAAGTGTTACCAGTTCTTCTGTCCTTCCATCAATCTATTATTTTGAAATCAAACAGTTCTTCAGACTTTTTCTTTATTTCTGCAGGTATTCATCTGATTTTTTTTGTGCATTTGTGCATACAAATGACTTAATAGATTAAGGTTGCACAGTGCTACTTTATTCTGGTTTACTGACTTGACAGGTGGAATTACACACTTAGACTTCATGAAAATTGTACTTTTCCTGACTATTTTTTTGTTATGATTTATGATGGAGCTGATTTTGGTACACATGTGTAAAATAATGATTATCAGGGGAGGGAATTCATGTTGCACATACACATCTATTTTATCCTGATTTTACATAAACTAATAATGTGATCCTAGCACTGGAGAAAAACAATAACTTATTGACCTAGATTTCACTTGAATACACTAAAAAGTGTAGCACATTTATTGATAGGTAAGCTATTCAGGCTTCTAGAAGCCTCTAGTTTTAAGAAAATTGTCTTGTGCTTTTAATTGAACCGATTCTTAATTGTGTAACTAATTGTATTTGTAGATCTAAAGGAGCAGAAAAGGCAAACACAAAATTGAAAAACCAACAGAAGGAAACATCCAAGATAAAAAATATTGAAGCTAAAAAATTGACACAAAATTGTGATGAAAAGAAGAATGATAAGAAGTCAGGGGTTGATGACATGAAAAATAAGCAAGCAATTGTGGAGCAAAAAAGTAAAAATAGTGGAGAAACACAGGCTGCAAAGGAGAAAAATGAGAATAATAAAAGTTTGAAAGGGAAAAGTGACAGTTCGAAGATAGAGAAGAAAAATAAAGGAACCTTGTGTAAATCACCAGGAGGGGAGTCCCCATTTCAAAATAGTTTCATGTCATATATAGGATCAAACACTTCCCTCAGGCGTGATAAATTATCACAGAAGAAATCCCCGTTCAAATGGGAACTAGATGATGAAGAGACTGACAGCACTAAACATTCTCAAATGAAAACATACGAGAAGAAGTCTGGTCGGTGCATTGAATCAAAATCTAATAAACAGAAACAGTCTGAGGAGGAATGTAGTGAGTCTAGATATTGTTCAACCTTGGTTAAAAGTACGGAATCTTTAACTGTGGATAAAAGTACTGAATCTCCAACCGTGGATAAAAGTACTGAATCCGGCAAAAGTCCAACCTTGGATAAACGTACTGAATCTATCAAAAGTTCACATATAAAAGGCAGTGAAAATATAAAATCTAAAGAAAATACTGATGCAGATGCTGATAGTGATAAACAAACTTCTGATAAGTCAGAATGTGTAAATATTTGTACCAATGAAAAATCTGAGAAACCAGTCCAACACCATTCAGATACTCTGTCAAAAAAACAATCTACTCAATCATCATGTCAAGGTAGACAGCCTCCTAAAATTAAGGGAAAAGATAAAAACAAAACAAAATCTACTATGAAAAAATCCACAAAACCTAAATCAGATCAGAAAAGTGTGGATAACATTGGTAAGAAAACTTCCCGGAAATCTTCAAAAAGTTCTTGTGACAAGTCTTGTGGGAATAAATGTTCTGTAGATGGAAAAAATACAGATAGTGACTTTGAAAAACATTTTGAGAAATTTCTATCTACTGCATTAAATACTGACATGGATTTGGAGGAGAGCGAATCTCAGAAAAGTTCTAAAGAATCTGTGAAATTAGATAAAGTGAAAAAATGTAGTGTTAATAAAGGCCACAAACATATTACTGAAGTATCCTCAGTTGTCTCTAAAACAGGTGAAAAGAAAATTGTTAAAATGGAAACTAAGTCAGTTTCTTCTACTCTTGATCGAACAGTTGCTTCAACGTCAGATCGTGTCAAGACAAGGCCTGCTTTTCGTGGCTTTTCATCATCAAGTGCTGGACACTTTTTGAAAAATCGTATAGCGAGATACAATTTACCATCACCTCCAAAGAAGAGATATTCTTCAAGGACACCTTTTGTTGTGCCTAAGATTACAACAAATAAAAAACTCATTCCTATTTCTGAGTTTAATGTTTTAGACAGTCAGGAGGCTAATGCTAAAGAAAAAGAAAGTTCCGACACTAAACCAGAAATCAAATCTTCCACATCCACTCAGCACAAGCTTGTTCCTGTCGATGCTCACCGTATAAGGCATATGTACCATGGTGGCAAGGTCTGGCAAATTGGGCAAGGATCTGTCTCTGCCACTAATTTATCAAGTCCCACAAAGCATCAGCAGTCAAATTGTCAAAAAAACAAGGCATCAAATATTGAACAGGCAAACTCGGAAAGCGTGAATGTTAATGATGATGTTCAGAAAGAGATAAAGTCATCTGACCAGGATGACGATAAAGACAGTGAAAAACATAATCGATGGAAATCACAGAAAAGATCGGCACCAACTGATGACTATATGGAGAGTAAACGAACAAGAAATTCTCCAACTTAACATGTTAGGAATTAGTATATTGGATTTCTTTTAATGAACACATCTTTTTTTAAGCAGACAGGAAAGATTGTTTGAGCAAATTTATCATTTAAGTGTTGAAAAATAATCCCCTGCAATTTTTTTGTTCTTAGTATAGAATGAGTATTAGTTAAGTCCTTGTCCATTTTATCATATATTATGCATATTGTACCAAGGGAGGGCACATTATTAAAAATGGGTTACCCACTAGGAGAAGCAATTTTATTTTATTTTTTTGTTCATTGTGTTTAGGAAAAGTAGTTTTAGTCACTGAGCTGGAGATTTTGGTTAATTGGGTATCATGCATGTTTTAAAGCAACAGCCTTTAATCAAAGAGAATTATGTAATCAAGTTTGAAATTTTTATGAAGTTTTTCATATGTAACATGTGTTCAAAATGTTAAAAAGTTTAGTTTCTGTTCATGGGTTTATTAGAAAACAACTTTATTGCAGTAAAAATAAAAATGTTTTTTTTTCTTAGATTTTTTTTCTGCTTTGCTGCTTTGTTTCTATGTCTAAAGCAAAATGAAACGTTCATCAAAGATTCTTCACATGAGCTTCAATGTGCTTTCTTTTTGTATCAATTCTACAGGATTTCATCAAAATGTGTACGATTCAATACCTTTGTTTTACATTAAACATTTTCCATTCAGATTGTATTTTTGTGTTTTGTGGTGTACATATTTTTACAACCCATTATACAGGTGATTTTTTATATTTGCTTTGTGTCGCTGAATTTTATTTTTATAGCAGAAAATTTGGTATATACTTGTCTTTCGATGGAAAATTAGAACCATAATGATAATCAACAGAAATTGAATGTCTTAAAAATAATTATAAAAGTTTTTTTTTTGTCTTCAGATATTTTCTTTAACAGACAACAGTTAGATGTCTTTTAAAATTTATTTGGTTAAGTTTTAAATTAAGTGTTTTACGATTTATGAATGGGAAAGGACAAATCTATTCTTTAGTATTTCATATAAACTATATTTGTATATGGGGAAATAATTGTCCTCTTCATAACCACGATGAGAAACATGTTTTTTCATTAAATGAAATACCAACAACGTCAAAAATAGTACCATGTGTAGATTAGAATTTGAATTTTATTAAATCTTGTACTAACGCTTGTGGAGATTTTTGTAAGGCATTATTAATATGTGTGTTTTTTTATTATGTGGAAATTATGCCTTCTACACATATTATAAAATAGCTTTTAGATTTTATTGTAAAAATAAAACATTTGTAATATCTATCTGAAAGTAATGCTACATCCACATAATAACAAAAATCAAAGAAGAAATCATTGTATAACATTTTCAGGAAATCTGAATAGGGAAAAGTTATATGTAAATAAACATTTATATCATAAATTATTTATGTACAGAAATGCCACTTATTTTAAATATATACATGAACAAACTGTTCCATATTATACTAATTGTAAGTACTCATGTTCTCCTATTCATGAGTGGATATTTTAGTTTTGAAATGATCCTCGATAAATATTCATGAGATAAAACAGGGCAGAGATAGCCAATAAATTAATTGGAAAGCAAAATGCTGTGAAATGTGTGATAGTATAAAACTGTTCCTAAACTAGAATATTTTCCAGAATTGTTGAAATAACTGATTTTGCACAATGTCATGCCTTTTATTTACTTGTTATATCTTACCTATGTCTTTAATGTTTGATTATGGAAATTCCCCCAAATGAACCTTTTTTTATGAACAATTTGTTTTCATGGAGCCACTACCACAAATTTTATAATACTTACAAAAATTGATGTCTGCAAAAACTTTGTCTATAGAGAATACATTCTCATGAGAGAGCATTGCCTATAGAGAATACATTCTCATGAGAGAGCATTGCCTATAGAGAATACATTCTCATGAGAGAGCTACCTATAGAGAATACATTCTCATGAGAGAGCTGCCTATAGAGAATACATTCTCTTGAGAGAGCATTGCCTATAGAGAATACATTCTCATGAGAGAGTGCCTATAGAGAATACATTCTCATGAGAGAGTGTCTATAGAGAATACATTCTCATGAGAGAACTGCCTATAGAGAATACATTCTCATGAGAGAGTGCCTATAGAGAATACAGTCTCATGAGAGAGCATCAACAGAAACTCAAAAGTTGCTTCCGGAAATAGTGCCATTCTATCAATAAATTTCAGGTAATAAATCAAAAGAATTGTTTTTATACTCTCAAACCTACCAACAACATATTTACCTCTTAGTGTAACCTTTTTTTCTTAAAAATTTGACATCAAGGTTTTCAACATAAGCAATAATTGGATTATTTTTTTTTAGGGGGGGGGGGAGAAAAGGGGTGTGCTAAGTGTAATCCTTTGAACAGTATTTGTTTTAATAATTGTAGAATAAGATTTGTAATATGTTTTTGGGGTCATAGGTCAGATATGTTATGCTGGTTAAAGTGTTTCCACGATCATGCATGAATATTTATCTTCATCAAACATTGTTAAAATATTAGAACTGTATATATTAAATGTAAAGATTGTTGTTTTTGTTGGTAAGGATGAGTTGATGCATCTCATTTGAAAGTAATTTGCATTTGTTCATTCATCATGCAAACTAAATAAATTTAATAACTAAATTATTTGAGTTCTTGAATTCCAAGCAACGGATGTATCCTGCAACCAACAGTCATTGTTAAAGTTATCAGGAGATGTCAGTGTTGACACTACTTGTCAGGGACCACTAGACTTCAACAATGAGAAACATCATGTACTGTTGGGAAGGTTTAAATTGTCTATAGAAATAACTTTGATATCATCACCAACATGCTTATAATATTTATGTTGACAAACAGATTTTTAAATTAAGGATTATATCTCCCTTAAGCATAGCTCTGATTCTTTGTTCGGGGTTTTGCTTTATTTAGTTCTTTTTTTGTTGAAATAAGCAGTAAAGTTGGTACTGTTAATGTTATTTATGCATAGATAAGAGTCCTTTCCATCTATGGCCATTACCATGTAGTATTCGGTCTGTCTATCTGTGTATCCAACATTTGTCCATTCCATATCTTCTACTTTGTAGTGACGGGCTTTAACACATTGAAGTTTATGTCTTTTGTACTACGCATGGCTTAGTGGAGATGTATATACAGTGAATTTTAACAGTTTTATAATTTTTAACAAATTAATTCTAACATTTTAAAACTATTTACTCTTGCTAAATTAACTGACTGTAGGTGTAGGTTGAGACTGCTGCTTTGAATGACTCTACAGAGTCGCTCATCAGAGGAAGGCTTTTCCAGTTTTGAATCGTTCGTGGAAAAAATTATTGATGGCGTATTTGTGTTCTGCAGGATGGAATTTGGTATGAGAGTGTGTGCATGTTCCGGGACTGTCTGAGCAGTTGTATTAGTCTGTCTGTTTTTGTGACTGCAATGAGTCGATATGAAATTTTATAAAACATGACAAAGGCGTGCATCTGTTCCTCTGTGTGCAAGGTCTCTCCATTTTAAGTGATTTATCATGTCTCTAACACTTGAGGTGTTTCTATGTCGGTTAGTGACAAATCTAGCAGCCCTTCTTTGTACTTTTTCTAGTTTGTTTATATCTTCAGTAAAATAAGGGTCCCAGACTGAACAGGCATATTCTAGTGATGGTCGGACTAAAGATTTATATGCCTGTTCCTTTACTGAGGTGGAACTGATGTTAAGATTCGTTCTGAGAAAACCTAGTGTACTGTTAGCCTTATTACAAATGGTGTTTATGTGACTGTGCCATTTTAGGTCTGATTGAATTGTCACGCCTAGGTATTTTGCCTTGTCAACGTGTTCAAGAATGTGGCCATGTAGAGTGTAATTGTATACGAAGGGATTTTTATTTCAGCTGATGGACATAACATTACACTTGTCAGGATGAAAAGCCATTTTCCATGTGTTCCCATATACCTAGTGTGTTAAGATCTTTTTGAAGGGTTTCGCAATCGTTGTTAGATTTTATTACGAGATAAGCAATGTTGTCATCTGCAAATAGGCGTATGGTGGAATTTAAGCCAACTGGTATATCATTGATGTAAAACAAACAGACTCAGGCCCAGAACAGATCCTTGATGCACTCCTGACTTCACAGGGATATAGCCTGAAGTCTCACCCTCTAGATGACTGTTGGGTACGACATGATGAAAAGCCCTGTATCCATGCATTTGTTTTCCCCTGTATCTATTGTGATTTAGTTTGTGCGTTAATTAGTTATGACTGACTTTATCGAAAGCTTTAGAAAAGTCCATTATTTATAAGTACATCTGTTTGTTTTGAATTTTCAATATTTTTAGTGACATCATCTATAAATTCCAAAAGCTGAGTTTCACAAGATATACTTTTTCGAAAGCCGTGTTGAAGGGGATACAGGATGTTATGGTTGTCCGCGTGTGTCATGATTGTGCTAACTACAACATGTTCTATAATTTTGCAACACATGCATGTTAAAGAAATAGGTCTATAATTCTCTGGATTTTATGTGGACCCTTTCTTGAAAATGGGGGAGACGTGCGGTTTGAGGCATAGAATAGGTGATATGAAATGTGCTAACTCCATTAGGAGGTGTGGCTTAAGTTCGTCTGGTCCCCTGCCTTTGACGGGTTTAAATTTAGACGTAGTTTGGAGATACCTTTAATGGTTATGTTTATGTTTTGTATGGTAGGGTAAGCTGTTTTCTGTTGCATGTACTGATTGTTTTAAAATTCAGTAGCAGTGATTATGTTTGGTTCTGAAAAAACTGATTGAAACTGCTTGAAATTATCTTCAGTAACACTAAGCATTAATTGATAATACTTGGTATGAAAGTGTTTACTGCCACATGGTTCTTGTATGCATCAAAAAGTATTTGATATATCTAGGTTGAAATTCAAGGTCACAGACTTAGTTGTTGTCTATGTCAGGTTCATATAAGAATGCATGTCACTCCATACCTTTAGTATCCTTTGGATTTATTGATGATGCTTAGTAAGAGTGTTTACTAGCACCAGAAGTAAGCAACACTCAATTAATACTACCAGGAGATGGGTCACAAAACATTTGAAATTGTCCAACTTATGTCCATAATCATAATCCTTACTGCTTTATATGTTGAGTACATGTAGTTTATAATACTTTGTATGATGTTCTCACTACCAATAGCTGTGTCTCAAAAAAAGAAAGATTTGTAATAGATTTCAAATGTTTGACCACTGGATGTTAAGCAAGCAACATTCCATCAATCAAATGTTGGGTTTAAAGGTTCCTGGGGGAGGTGAATTAAGAAAAGAGCTTTGGACACACCAAATTTATGAATTGTTATTTTCCTTTTGAATCTGAAGGAAGCTGAAAGGTTAAGTGCACACACCTAGTTGTAAGTTATCCACAATTGGATTAACCACTGTATCTTGAATACATGTGAAGTATATTGATGATACATTTGTACTTGGTATAAGTCTGCATCTTACAGGTCAAGATCCCCATTTTCTTTTGTATTCCCGTCCATTTCCTAATAAAAATCCACATCAAAAATACAAATAAAGGGGGAGATGCTCATGAGATGGTCTCCATGTCAAATGTGTCATAAAGTTTACTAATTTCACTTTGATTGGCTCTCCTGTTCATTAAAAAAACTAGAGGCTCTAAAGAGCCTGTGTCGCTCACCTTGGTCTATGTGCATATTAAACAAAGGACACAGATGGATTCATGACAAAATTGTGTTTTGGTGATGGTGATGTGTTTGTAGATCTTATTTTACTGAACATTCTTGCTCCTTACTATTATCTCTATCTATAATGAACTTGGCCCAGTAGTTACAGTGGAAAATATTTTTGTAAAAATTTACAAAAATTTATGAAAATTGTAAAAAATTGACTATAAAGGGCAATAACTCCTTAAGGGGTCAATTGACAATTTTGGTCATGTTGACTTATTTGTAGATCTAACTTTGCTGTACTTTATTGCTGTTTACAGTTTATCTCGATCTATAATAATATTCAAGATAATAACCAAAAGCTGCAAAATTTTCTTAAAATTACCAATTCAGGGGCAGCAACCCAACAACATGTTGCCTGATTGGTCTGAAAATTTCAGGGCATATAGATCTTGACCTAATGAACAATTTCATCCTCATCAGATTTGCTCTAAATGCTTTGGTTTCAGAGATATGAGCCAAAAACTGCATTTTACCCTATGTACTATTTTTTAGCCATGTCGGCCATCTTGGTTCGCGGGCGGGGTCATCGGACACATTTTTTAAACTAGATACCCTAATGATGATTGTGGACAAGTTTGGTTAAATTTGTCTTAGTAGTTTCAGATTACAAAAATTTACGAAAAATGGTTAAAAATTGACTATAAAGGGCAATAACTCCTTAAGGGGTCAACTGACCAGATGCTAAATCAAATACTATACATGGGAATGCAACCTTACTTGGATATATAATCTTGGATATATAATCATATATAGCAAGAGGAAGATATTGGTTGATTTTGAGGTCGGTACATCAAGTTAAGGTCATTGCTACTAAAATAGATAAATATATCTACAGACATAGGTTTCCGGATGCTAAATCAAATGCTACATATGGGATTGTAACTTTACCTAGATAAATTTTCACATTTAATAAAAGAAGAAACAAATATTGATTTTGAGGTCATTTCAAAGGTCAAGGTCACAGTTACTAAAAATCAACTGAAACGTAAGCAGAAAAGAGGTTACTGGATGCTAAATCAAGTTCTACATATGAACTGCAACCTCAATCGGATTGAGATGAAGATCCCTTTTGATTTTGACAAAAAATATTACTTAGTCCATGGTCAATGTTTTGTTTACTAAAACAGATTGTGTAAGACAATATTACTGTTTCAAAATCATATCAGAAATTAATCTTACATTAAGTAAACTGAGAAAAAAAACATGTCATCAGGACACAGGAGCCTGGGGTATGCTAATCTGTCAGCTGCAGCATAAACTATTTGTATAAAGCTTTTTATTTCAGAAGATAGAAGAGCTTGATGCTTCATACATTGCATGTTACGACGTTTTTGTCTGTCGTATGTCCATTGACTTCTTTTTCATTTTTCAGCAACTGTTATAAAAACGGTATAGTTTTTGTCATGTGAATTTCTCACTTGTTAGGAGAAATATGATAATAATATCCTTGTAAGGTCTACGTGTCTGTCAGACAGGGTTCAACTGACCTCGACCTCATTTCATAGATCAGTGATCAAGATTAAAGTTATTTGATTATGTCAGTTTCTCAGATACTGTAAGCAGAGGGTAAACTATATATGGTGTATAGAATGATTATAAGGTGTGCATGTATGTCTGGTAGGTAGAATCTGACCTTGACTTCATTTCATGGTTCATTGGTCAATGTTAAGTTTTCCTGGTTAAGTTTGTTTTTTATATACTATAAGCAATAGGTCAGTTATATTTTGTACACGGATTATTTGTAAGGTGTACATGTCATCTGCCTTGATCGCATTTACATGGATAAGATTTAAGTTGATGTGATATTTCTAGTGTGAATATTTTAGACTTTGAACATAAAAATTAATCATGTTCAGTAAAGCAGTTGTGACTCTTGTTATACTAAAGATAGAAAACTTGAACTTAAATCACAACT